GATTTAACTTGAAAAAACTCGAGAATAGAAAAAAATCACGTAGTCATACAACACAAAAAATTTTACTATAAAATGAGCAGAAATATACAAAATTAAACCACACTCAGAGTTCCTCTCTACAAGTCTCGAACTCAGGACGCTCCTCCTCTCTTGATCGCATAAGAGCAAATCGTAGAAATCCAACACAGAACTCATTGCACATGTCGCTCTGTCTTGCTATTGTTATACACACTGCCGAGAGATGCGTCCGTCCTATAGAAGTCAAGGACACAAATCCGATCGGGAAGAGAAACCCCTTCACGGTAATATCTTTCCACACGTTGTTTGGAGTCATTTTTCTTGGCGATGGACCGCCCTTAACGAGCTCCAAAATACTCAATGCTCTATTTTCGAACCTAAAAACGATCATCCTGTGACAAAACTGTGCCCATTCAGGGCTCTTGATTTTCTGGTACTTGGTTCACTGGGCACCCCTATTGGCATCGAGGCACCACTCTTGGGCACTTGGGTGCTGGAATGCCTTGGGTTGTGTTCTTGTCATGCTATCAGGCTCCACACACACTAACACAATGACACTGAAATAGATGCAAAAGAGAGGCTTACATTAATGTATGGAGGCACTTGTCCAAAAAAATACTTGTCCAAAAAAAATAGATAAATGGATGTTAAAAAGTGAAGACTAAGGGTGTGTTTGGGGCAGCTTGTGCGTTTCAGGATAAACAGCTTATACTGAAACACGGCCCGCGGGTTGACCGCGTGGTTCGACTCACGACCTACATTTAGTGTAAAAATAGAACTGCGTTTTCGAATAAGCGGGCAAAAGACGCAATCCAAACGGTACCACGGCGTTTTTAAAAACCTCCCCGCACTTATAAGCTGCCCCACTTGTCCAAAAAAACTAGATAAATGGATGTTAAAAAGTGAAGACTAACTTATTAGAGGATATGATGACCTTAGTTAAGATCACATGGTTCCATCATTTTGGGTCATTGGTGCCCTTAGTCTTTTTTTGTCATGTGGTGAATTAAGGAACCTTGCAATCATAGATTATCTCATCCAAGGATTCTCATAGACCAAGGGCGTAGACTAAGCCCCAGACTGATAGACATGATTACACTCTTTATCGAACAAGGGAGGAACCCAGATTGGATATATAGTACCGTATGTGATTGTACATGCCAAAGTTGACAAGCCTATCTATACTCTAGGAGGGAATGGTAGTAAAAAAATGTGCATTCTTCATGTGGCGAAGATGATACCTATAATAAGACTTGTAGCTTTGACCATAAGAGATCAGCAAGCTTAAATATCTCCTTAATTCGATTAAAGAACAATAAAGTTCAATGGGACTGAGATCAAGAAGCCCAAAAGTCTTCTTAATGTATTAAAGGAGAAACAAAAGGTATGGAAGACATGACTTATAGCTTAATTGCATGTAAAACATATTTATGTAAAAAAAGAGCTCAATCTTATATGATTAAGGGCTCAAATATCTTCTCATCATAATAGAGAATGTATCAAAAGGATGTGAAAGATGTGAAAGGTATAAAACATAGGACTTGCAACTTAATCACATGAGATCAAAAAGCTGAACATCTCCGTGTGATGGAGAAGATATCAAAAGGAGAAGTATGTGCTTACAATTTAATCGTGGAAATCAAGCAAGTTCAGACATCTCAATGTTGAGCACAAAATATGAAAAATAGGATTTTCAACTTGATTTTCTGACCAAAAAAGCTCAGTTATCTTCTCATTGTAGTAGAGAATATATAATTCTGGACTTATATACTGTCTAGTTTAGGAATGCCCACTAACAATCTTATCTTATACATAAAGTGGATCCATAAAGAAAAATAATTTGAAGGGGAAAAGGTACATTGTAGGGTAAGAAATATATGGACATGTGTGCAGTGTTATTATTTTAAATGTCTCCCCGAGGATAAAGTCTGTGCAATCTTACAAGATCATCACTATCAGGCCTTTAAATAAATCGTTGATTCTGCACATAATCAAGCATCTTGTCCTGTTCAAAAAACTATTTATCATTTAAAATTTATAATGAAATAGCCTTTAAATTTTGGTTATTTTGTTTGATTATTTTGTGATTCTAATAAAAATATTGGAGCAGGTTGGAACAACACGTGATAAGCCCACTGTAGATGCTACAACAAACAGAATCAACAGCCTCCTCTTTAAGGTTGATCACACTCAAAAACTCTATTTATAGAAAATATAATTTGAGTCTGTGAAATGTTTTTTCATAAATTGGCATTTACCAGGTGAGATCCCTTAGGATGGATGGCTCCTGTGCATTGAACCTTTGTAGTGTTGCTTGTGGTAGGATTGACATCTTCTATGAACTCGGGTTTGGCGGTCCTTGGTATGTTGCACATTCATTATTTTTTGAAATATTTACCTACATCCCACTTTTTTCCTATGGATTTACATATCTAACACTTAAACTTCAATTTTTGCATAACGAAGAGCTGTATTCAAAGTTAAAATAGTGATATTTTTTATGTAATATGAAAGATTTGGGTGATATAAATGTAAAAATGTTTCGGTGTTGAATCTATAAATACGTAGGAATTTGGTGGTATTTTATTTGGTTCCGATTTTTTAAACTTTAGGTGCCTATGGGTTAAGCGACTCAATAAGATTTTGCTTTTGTAGGGATGTTGCTGGCGGGGCAATCATTCTTCAAGAAGCTGGAGGACTCATTTTCGACCCGTAAGTCCAATTTACACCAGAACAACACGTGGTTGACAGTCATATATGCATGTACAAATGATTAAAATAGTGCATGAATCAAATATATTTTCATTTGGGAAATTTACATTCGTACCACACAATTGTTATGGATTTACATATCTAACACCTAAAGTTTAGTTTTTACATTTACAGCACCTTGGTGCTATAAACTAAAGCATAAATGGTGCATTTGACTTTTAGAAAGTTAGTGAAGTGGTAATTTTGATGCGATGTTAATGATTTGAATGTTATGAATGTAAATATGAAAGTATTAAATATGTAAATAAACAAGAATTGTGTGGCAGGCATGTAAATGCCATTTTTCATTTTTCATTTTCATTTTTGGGAATTTTTCAAATAGGCATGGAGGGGATTTTGACATCATGTCAAGGAGAGTGGCTGCATCAAACGGCCATCTGAAGGATCTATTTGTTGGTGCTTTGAGGGAAGCAGAAGGAAACGGCCCTTAATAATTCCAGCAGGCCAACAATGTCTGAATCTCCCAGTCTGAAGAAAATGTCCAGCTTCTCTCGCATTTAAATTTATCAAAATACACATTGTTCCTCTTAAGTTATCCCTCTTTCATTCAACCGATCCGAATTCTGATGAAATATCATTTTTATTTTTATTTTTATCATGTATTAGCTGCCTATGTTGGCTTCCCTGCCTTGTTTTTGGACTCCAAATGTTGATTATGACAAATGTATACAAATATATATTCTTTTATATACTGGAATTTTTATTGATTTAATTTACACACTGGAATTTACATTTGACCTATTTTTAGCCTTCTTGCCATTTATAGAGTGTTGGGCATATATTTAAAACTAGGAAAGATCTACACATACCACTCAATTCCTTTGTTTTTACATATCTAACATCTAAACTTCAATTTTAACGTACATGCATGCCACCTTTCCCTTGTATGAAATGGGGCATTTCAATTTCTAAAAGTTAAAATGATGGTATTTTTTTTTTTTTTTATGTGATATGAAAGATTAAAACCTATTTTATTTAATTATGAAATTGCCACCACAATTTTATTTAATTATTGTTTATAGTGATGATAAGCTATTTTTTTCAAGTTAAAACCTACATAGCACAGATTCTTATGTATTTACATATCTAACCTCCAAGCTTCAAAACTTGCACAAATAACACTCAAATATTTAATATCATTATCAAAATTAATATTATTTCCATTTTTTTTAATGTAAAATACATCTTTTCACGCAGGAATTCAAAACACCAAAATATTATATATGCAAATACAAAAATTTAGGTGTTAGATGTAAATACATGAATTATGTGCAACATATGTAAATTTCCCTTTATTATTATGATAGGTATTAAGAACATTAATGCCTAATTTATTTTTTAAAAAAATATTTATGATACCAACGATAATTTTTTTTATTTTTTTATCATAATTTTATAATCACTTTTACACAAAAAAGGGCAATGAAACTATTTACAAATCAACCACCCCTTTTCATTCATTTTTCAAATTTCCACTCAAATATCAAAACTCATGGTAAAACCTGATATATATATAGATGGTAATCAAATTCTGAATAATTTGATTGTGACGTGTAAATACGGCATATATTTAAAACTAGGAAAGATCTACACATACCACTCAATTCCTTTGTTTTTACATATCTAACATCTAAACTTCAATTTTAACGTACATGCATGCCACCTTTCCCTTGTATGAAATGGGGCATTTCAATTTCTAAAAGTTAAAATGATGGTATTTTTTTTTTATGTGATATGAAAGATTAAAACCTATTTTATTTAATTATGAAATTGCCACCACAATTTTATTTAATTATTGTTTCTAGTGATGATAAGCTATTTTTTTCAAGTTAAAACCTACATAGCACAGATTCTTATGTATTTACATATCTAACCTCCAAGCTTCAAAACTTGCACAAATAACACTCAAATATTTAATATCATTATCAAAATTAATATTATTTCCATTTTTTTTAATGTAAAATACATCTTTTCACGCAGGAATTCAAAACACCAAAATATTATATATGCAAATACAAAAATTTAGGTGTTAGATGTAAATACATGAATTATGTGCAACATATGTAAATTTCCCTTTATTATTATGATAGGTATTAAGAACATTAATGCCTAATTTATTTTTTAAAAAAATATTTATGATACCAACCATAATTTTTTTTTTATTTTTTATCATAATTTTATAATCACTTTTACACAAAAAAGGGCAATGAAACTATTTACAAATCAACCACCCCTTTTCATTCATTTTTCAAATTCCCACTCAAATATCAAAATTCATGGTATAACCTTTTATATATATATATATGTTAATCAAATTCTGAATAATTTGATTGTGACGTGTAAATATGCCGATTCGGCACCGATTCGATGGTTGAAAAAATTAACCTGCATGGTTACTTTATAAATATCACCAAAACCTAAAATAAAAACATTCAAATAGACCGTTAATGTCTTTATCATCATGCCGATTCGGTGGTTGAAAAAATTAACCTACATGGTTAATTTATAAATATCACCAAAACCAAAAAATAAACATTCAAATAGACCGTTAATGTCTTTATCATCAACCTAGTTCATACTAGAAGTTTGGAACTCTGCAAATCCACTTCACGGTTGTTTGTCTCTTACTCAGCAAATGCGCAAATTTGCATCACCAGAACCAAGCAAAAACTCAAAACAGGAATCTGGTCACAAGGGATCAATATAATTCAAAAACCCATCCATATTCAGTACGCATCATTTTAGATATAGAAAAACAATGCATGTTCCCTCAGAATAATCTTTCAGATTACCAGCGTACATACAAACGACTGCAAATTATTAAGATATATTGCAACTCTCAGTCAACAAAAACAAAAAAAACAAGTAACAAGGATGATTAAGAACAGTAAATTTTCTCAATCACAGCAATTAGGAAACGAATAAGAAGTGAAGGTTCTGCACGATGCTTAAAGTGATCAACTAACAGAGGGTGAGGGCCTCTTCTCAGTGGTGTAAGGATAGTATTCCTTGCCTACATCAACTCTTGTCGTCCGACCGCCGATGTCAAGGATAGCAGAAGTCACAGCCAGAGCTGACCCTGCGGCGAGTGCCGACGGAATGGATTTCCCTGCAGATTATTAGTTTACCAGCAAAGTTAGTTGACCATTAACTCATTTTAGGGGATTAGATATAGCATGCACTACATACACAGGTTGTTTTGGCAGAAACATTAAAATTGTACTGTATTCCATTTTCTTATTCCAATTCTTTTGGCGTTTTGTAAGAAGCAAGTGAAACGCAAAGCAAAATTTTGATAAATTAATTCACAAATTATTCCAAAGTGAATGAAACTAAAATCCAAAATATGGAATCGACTAAGCCTTTGCTAAAATCAATCCAAATCAAACCAAAATATATTTTGATTTAATTGGATCAATTTCGTACAAGCTGATACTTAGCATTTGGTTCTCTTTCAAATCACAATAATTAAAACTTAAGGTTCCATTTCAAAATTTAAATTTATTTCTCTTTTTTTTCTCCTAACTATATATTTAAAATTGAAAATTTTAAACTAGGCTAATTTATCTATTTTCTAACTTTCTTTCAAAATGAAATTAATTTCCTAATCCTAATATTATTTGATTTTTCACCGAATTTGAAATATATCATGGCACACACAAAGAAACTTTTAAATTCATTAATTTGCTTTCAACCAAGAACTCATGTTTCTAACAAGCATGCACTCCAACAACTCTACAGTTTTCTAAAATAAATGTACTTTAAAAGCATCCGACCAAGCAGCCTCAAAGCTTACTCCAACAGCAGATTATATTAAAGGGGTTATCATGTAGCATTTACACCCTGCTTAACATGAAAGAACCGCTATTAAAGAAATGCGATGCTTAAAGTTTCTAGGATTTTGTAAAATACAAATAAATAAAAAATTCAGGCTTAGTATCTGTTTACAGCCTTAAAAAAACCGAAATTTACATGGGCAGCACCTAATTCTTATGCATTTACTTATCTACACCCAAACTTTAATTTTTAAAATCTAAGCACATTTAACCATGTATGAAAAGGTGGATTACACTATTAAAGCTGAAATCCACTTTCCATACATAATTAGACGTTCTTTCGCAGTAAAAAATCAAAGTTCGGGTGTGAGATAAGTAAATGCATAAGAATTAGGTTCGTTAGACGTTCTTTCGCAGTAAAAAATCAAAGTTTGGGTGTGAGATAAGTAAATGCATAAGAATTAGGTTCTATGCTTGTAAAATTCTGCCCCCGCCCCTTTCCCCCAAAAAAAGGATTACACGAGTCATTTTCATATACAAATTTAAGAGACCTCTAAAGAGAACGGTCTCCACACTGATCTTTATTTATTTTATTTTTTTTTGACAAATTGAACAAGAAAAATGGATGCCTAAACAATGTAACGAATGTTGCAGTTTGTCAGCAAGCCCACAAAAATATTCATATTATTACATGTATTTATAAAAAATCAAGCATGATGTAAACATAATACATAGAACATATTAAAATTAGCTTGATTCAATGCAACCAATGTTGCAGTTTGTCCGAGCCCACAAAAATATTCATATTATAACATGTATTTATAAAAAATCAAACATGATGTAAACATAATACATAGAACATATTAAAATTAGCTTGATTCAATGCAACCAATGTTGCTTATCTCAAAAACTGCTAATGCATCTCATCCATAGCTATCAAATCAGTAAAAGAATCATGATTTCATTGTTCGTAGCCATAATGAGTGGACAAATGGACTTAATGATTCAATCAAAAGTCATAGTAGTTAAAATCCATAATATTATTAGAAATATTTATAAGGCTTTGTCAAGCAAAATCAAAGCAATTAATTCTTATGAATAAGTCAAACCATTAATACTTTATAATACATATAATTATATAAAGAAATAAATAATCTTAAACCACCTTTTTACTAATTTCAGTGGGCTTTTGTAACAAGAATCTTTCTGTTTCATTTAATTACTAGCCGCTAAATGGTTTTATCTTTTCAATCTTATTTTCATTTCTTGTTTAACTTCAGTTAAAAAAAAAACGTAGGTGGGTGAGATATTTAAATAAACTTTCCAATAAAATTTTTGAAAATATAATCAACTTTAGCGATTTTAATAGTGTTAATACAACAACAACAACAACAACAAAGCCTTAATAGTGTTAATAATAATAAAAAAATTTTATTTGCACTGTCACATTAGTAAAAAGGAAGTTAATGAGACTTTAAAGAAAATCAAGTGTGGAAAATCAGTTGGACTTGTTAGTATTCCAATAGAAGTGCGAAAATATTTATGAGATATGAAAATTTCTTGGCTTACTCAACTTTTTAATATTATTTTAAAAACTAAACATATGTTTCAGAGGAGGAAGAGTATTTTGGTACCCATTTTTAAGAATAAAAGAGATGCACTGCAAATTATAGATGAATTAAGTTAATGTGTTATACATTAAAATAATGGGTGAGAGTAATTGAACACGATTTAAGACATGATATAAAAATTTCTCATAATCTGTTTGAATTTATGCCGAATAAGTCTACTATGGAAGCAACAAATTTATTGAGAGGTTTGAAGAGAAGTACAAAGAGAGTAAGAAGGATCGACATATGATTTTTATTGATTTTAAAAACTTATGCTGAAGTTCCAATAAAAGTTCTTTGGAGAGTTTTAGAAAATAAATGTATTGATATAGCTTATATTCAAGTCTTAAAAATATGTATGATAGAATTGTTACTTGTGTTAGAATAGAAAGAGGATTGACCAAGTCTTTTCCTATTTCAATTGGATTACATCAGGGATCGACTTTAAGCCCATATCTTTTTGTTTTAGTTACGGATACTCTTGTTGGACATTTACAGGAGGATGTACCTTAGTGTATGCTTTTCGCTACTGATATCCTTCTTGTGGATAATTCTAGAGAAAAAGTCCAAGAAAAACTTGGATTATAGGGGTTTACTTTAGAGTCAAAATGTCTTCGTTTGAGTATATCTAAAATTGAATACATGAAATGTAATTTTAGTAGTAGTAAATCTAGTGGCAGAGTTGTAACAATGGGTGATCATATAATTAAAAGTGATAAACGTTTTAGATATCTCGGGTCTATTGTTCAAAGTGATGGTGATATAGATGGGATGTTATTAAAAGAATTCAAATAGAATTCAAATTGGATGGTTGGGTTGAAGTGGAGGAATGCATCGAGCCTATTGTGCGATAGGGTGGGACCTGCAATGTTTTATGGAACAATATTGGCCTATAAAAGAGAAGCATAAAACTAAGTTTAGTGTTTCTTAGATGAGAATGCTTGGGTAGATGTGGCTTTACACTTAGAGGCAAAATACGAAACAAATATATCCGTGAAAGAGTTGGTGTAGCTCCACTGGCAGAGTCTTTTTAAATTGTTTGGTCACATTAAATGTCGACCATCTGATTATTAGGTTGGGAGAGTAGATGTTCTAGATTCGACTTATGGTAAGAAAGGTAAAGATAAACCTAAAAAGGTCTGGGCATGTTGTATAAAAATGATATTAATTTATTAGAATTAAATGAAAAAAAAGACACTCAACAGTATACAATGGAGAGAAAGGATTCATGTAGCCGACCCCACTTAGTGGGATAAAAGCTTATTGTTCTTCTTGTTGTAATCGTCGCCGTCATCGTTGTCCAATTAAAAAACAAATGATAAAATATTATAAAAAAATAGTTATGCATTTTCAAAACAAGATAATTACGACATAAAATATACATTACACACACACATGACTTAATTTTATGAGAACTTCTCTAGAGTAATCAGTGCATGGGTCTTTATGAAAATTTTAGAAGATAATGTTCAAAAAAAAATCTTTGTAAGAACTTCTTCAAATTTACTATAAAATAAAATTACTAACGATTAAGGAAACTCCTACTTATTTTAATAACATATAATAAACATCGAGCAATGTAGTAATAGTACAAGTGCATAAGTAATTGTTAAAATAAAAGAAGATGATCCTCATCAGAGAGAGATAGAGAAATAGTTTTAATACTTGACATCTAAATGAGAATTAAAAGGTTGATACCAAATATAGCCAACACATATATCGAGTTATCATAATTCAACACTTTTCTTATATTTGTGTAATAATTAATAGCAATTGCCTCCTTGGTAATGTCATTTAGGAGAACAGACAAAGGGTCTGTTTGGGGCAGTTGCAGCTTATTCAACTTATCCAGATAAGCTACTTATCCTGATAAGCTGGTGATAAACAGTTGATCCGGGTAAGTTGTCTGTTTGCTTGGTTTGTGAGTTTGGAAAACAGCTGATTCTGGATAAATGACCATTATGCCCCTATTTTTGATAAGTTGTTTAGGTTTAGCTGTTTGGTTTGTGTGTTGTTTGGTTTGTGAGTTTTGTAAACAACTTATTTGTAGATTTTTTTTTAGTTAAATGAACAATCTAGCACGCAAAATTTGTAATGTTGCCTACAAAACTGCAATATCTACCCCTTAGATATTTTAGAATCAATTAAACTCCTTCAGACTCATTCGACACAAACAGAGCATCCAAAAATTTACTCATTTTCCAATCAGAGAGAGGGGAGTTGGACGCACACACGTGAAAATACAAAAGAGTTGAGTTGTGTGTATGTAAAACTTCCAAAAACAAACTCTAGAGACACAAACATAATATCATGTGGGAGAAAGTTTAAGCTGCTAGAAAATACTGTTAATTTAAAACAACCAATTCTTCTGCATTTACATATCTCACAAAAATTCTTTATCGTTTATATTTATATCACTCAAATATTTATGATCGCAACAAAGAAACACACTTACATATACAAAAGTGAAATACAATTTCACACACTAATATGGAGTATTTAACAAATTATGAGAAGCACAACAAAGGAATGAAGCATACAAAGAATTGAATACATTTTAATCGTAAAATCATTTTCTGAAAACTAATTCAATTGTCTCCAGCTAAAACATAGAAATTTCATTTCGAATTCCAATTGCTAACGTCTGCAGTATACTAAGAATACAAATATATCCTTAACATGAACCGATTTTAATGTACTGCTACGTTTTCACTTCAATGTAC